CCGGGGGGGGGGGGCAATGTCATCAATAACTGTACAGTGGACACATCCACAAAACTGCTGTACCGAAGTACAGGGAAACAGGAGAGGTGGGTACGATTAATTAGGATCCAGTTCAACGTCGTTTGCAGTGCTCGTATAATTGAAATGCGTCCTGTGCAAGACGCAAAACTCTCACTAAGTACTGTAGACAACGAATTAGTCTGGTATCGTAATTGATCGAAATTTTTTGAAGCAAACATCACATGATACAGATCGATAAGAAATTCATTGAGTGTCAATAGCGAGCGAGTTTCACGTAAATACGACACGCGTGGATTTCAATGAAATTCAATTACACGAGGTTAGATTGTACGCTTGTGCATTAGACTAAGGAGAAAATTCAACTTGCCAAATCGGACAATTCACACTTAACTCACAGTTACTTGTGAGTGTGTGACCGTCACAAAAATAAAATAACCTGCGCAGATGGGGAGGGGATTGGACAGAGATTTCGACAAAAGTCACCGGGCGTAGATTTATTCCATTACGTAAGTTTATCCGTTGAACTTACGAATAAAACAACATGGTAAACAATAAAAAACTGCCTGCCTAACGAGTTAATCATTAACAAGAAGATTTCAGTAATTTGCTTGCATATCAACTGTGAGAGATGACCAAAACAAAATCCATAATAATCTACGAAATTGACCAGTTTAAGGAATACAGATTGCCGATGAGTGCGTTTTCATCCTGATCACATTGCTTGCTAAAATTCTCGCTTAACCAGTCGCTGCCGGTTTTATTCGCACTCAAAGTACCGTACGAGGATATCAACCATGATGTGAGAATCGGATATCTGTCCATGGAAAACGCTTGACTGCAAATAACTAACTTTTTGTTAGTAACTGAATATTGTTGTGGAAAACTATACCTTGACTTGTTGTATCCATTCTATTTGGATGTTGTAACGGATGCATGTCCGTCAAACCTTTTTCTTTTGAGTCAGCTCTTGTAGAAAAATGTCTTGAATACCGGATACGTCTATCAACGAAATTTGTATTGTATATCTTTTTTCAAATTTATGAATGTGTTCTATTCAGTTACTATTGTTCTCTGAATAGTGAAATATGTCCTTGGTTATCCCTTATTCGCGCTGGCTATCTGTGATACAACTTCGTATGTGATGACTGACACAGAGGACTGCATAGTTGTTTCATCCACACTAGGACCTGTCAGCTGTGTATGCTGGTTATGACCCGGGGTGGGGATGGATGGGAGGCTGATCATGAGAAATCACATTAAAACGAACAAGTGAAACGTACATAGTACATGGTGACTTCTGATCCCTAATTCCACGCTCCCATGTTTCACCGTGCGGGGACTTCATGCTTGTTTGATGAAAAACGTATTCATATTGAGATCGTTTATTTCGATCAATAAGCGGGCGGCATCAGTCAGCGCTGACTCGTTCGGTGTTCACGGTGCGCAAAATTTTCTTAATCTTTTGTTTAACGTTCTCATTCCGTGTGGGAAATGAAAACACGTCCGAAGAGTGTCATCCAAACCAAAGGAACAATACACATCGTCCTGTCAACGAATTCACATCTACAAGACAACAACATATTGAAAACATGTGCTGCAAGTGTTAGCCAGCGGTGTTGTCGCCAAGAGGTCAAATGTTCACTGTTAGATAGAAAGCTCGTGCATCACGAATACAGTGCCCATGTGTGGGCAATGCTAACGGGTCCAAAAAGGTTGAACTCTTTGGCGATCAGCACGAACCACCATTTTAGAGAAAATTCGGGTTTTATTAAAGCGGTTGTTTCCCGAATTAAAATTGAACAAAGAACAAAACACTGCAAGTGAGCACGATTTAAATCCCGAATCATTTCGCTGCATCTCAGTTGGTGTTTACTGCAGAATAAAAACAGTTTATATATCACAAGCGTCGCTAATCTAACATGGTGTCAATTCACTCGTCCGCTTACGTGGTTACCATGGCAATGCCAGATTGATGTGGATCTCCTTTTGCTGACAAACCAGGGGCTTTCGGCGCTTGATTGCTATGGCCTTTGCAAATCCCAACAGTCGTCCATTTGAGGTTGTGTAAACAACCCGAAACGAAGTTCCGCGGTGGCCAGTCTGCAACAGATGGCGAGCAACTGATAATGCAGCTGCTCTGAGCGACCGACTTGATGGGCTGGTTGTTTGTGTAGCCCTCAAGCTGATTCCTTCGCGTTCGACCCATGCTGGTATACGTTCTGCCACTCGGGTGCACAGCTGCCGCTCTGTTCTGCCCACGTAGGTGACTCCTCACCCACACTGAGATTACGTGTCATAGGTTACGTGCCATTTGGTGGACAAAGGGAATGGTGATTTCACCAAGGGCTTCGGAATGTGGGTTGTGGTGAAGCGAACGACCGGATTTGCAGCAAATATATGCGGACTACCAATGCCACCAGTCTACTTCGTACACGTTGGCCTAAATCGTCACCTTTGAACGGCAGTTGAGTGAGAACGTCGCATTTTGGTGCTGTCATCCCCAAGGTCTTTGGTTCGGCTTTTACCCTGTACCTTTGTACATCAGTCTGGTATTGCCCTGGCAACCACGTAAGCGGAGGAGTGAATTGATACCAAGTTAGATTATCAAAAATTATGATATATAAACTGTTTTTATCCTTCAGTAAGCACCGACTGAGATGCAGCGAAATGATTCGGGATTTAAATCGTGCTTGTTTGCAGTGTTGTGTTCTTTGTTCAAATTCGGATCTCGTTAGTCGAGGCTATCCGACTTTCTGAGAGAGGCACAACATATGGTCCAGCCAGACTTCCTCAGTGCGATTTTCGGGCTCCACCAAAAAGGACCAAATAGAAAACGAACCGTAACTGGAGTGTGTTTGTGTTTACGGTGACCAGTACCAGCCATACTTGCGCTTAGACTGAATAGTAAATGATATTTAGCTCGCTATCTGCCGGTGATACAGGGTCCATGATTCGCTCGCTTCCTTTTCCTCGATCAACGTAATAAAACTGCATTGCAAGTGAAAGCTCGGCAAATATTTATTCTCAATTGTGGAGGTGAGATCAACTCAGAATCGTTCGCATTCTCGGGTTTATTGTCACAAGGTGCAAAAAACATAATGATTGATTTTCCAAGCAAGAAGAGGTGAAATTACATACAATTTTCGTACTATCCCGATATCATTTGTGCAGAGAGAGTAAAAGTGAACAAGCCATGTAGAATGAGATGAAATTATTTGGCAAAATACTTGCAAGCTAGTTCAGTGCAATCAATTGCTAACTTTGCGAATGGCGATCAGTGTAATTAGTTACTTAGCATGTAACATCGTAAAAGAGTTGTTTACGTGTTAGCGCTGGACGGGATTTCGCAGCTTATTTTCACTCACTAACCTACTGAAACCGTACTTCAATTTGTCCGTCCTAGATGATGCACTATCCGAAGTATGCCTGCATCGAGCGAAGAACACGGACGGATGTGATAACCAAACGACAACGGGAGAAGAATCACCTTCAGAACAGGCGAACACAGCAATCATGAGCCCGTTGGATCTAAACAGTTTAGAGAAACCACCATCCACACCATTACTGTCGGATAACTCAGCTGTAAACAGATCAGACACGGAACTCACCCCGATAAATCCAATGCTATCCTCGACGTTCACACAGCCCAATACGGACATATTACCACCACCGATCTCGTCACTGCACAACCCACCAGATGTAAGTATCAGCGGATATCAAGGAATTAGCGGACCGGAAAGAACTTCCCAACTGCCCACAACCTATCCATATCCCGATTCAAACCAGTATCCATCTGTCTATGACACATCTGGCCACGATCGACGGCCGTACACTTGGTCCAATCACCGTTACAGCGTTGATTTGAATAGTGGATCGATACAAGAACAGTTGGACACTCAAGATCAGTGGTGGCCCACTTCCTATCAATCACAACCATGAACCGGTTAGGAGTGAATAATACGGGTGGTCTAAACAAATCAATTGTCTTTCAGGATTTTTCCCTTCCGTTTATCGCAAGGGCTGATTTTTTTCCTATGGAAATTTCATCAACAATAATCTCATCACTTTCACGTGAATGGTGCTTGTCAGTCATTGAAACCAATATTCCGATTCTCATCGTATTCCACTCCCCGCTTTCAACTGATTCAAGGACTAGAGAAATTGTTTTGCATGTCCCATGAACACGAAAATTTGCATCTGATAACCGTCTCTATCCAATCAGTCTGCTTCCATTACTCATAACATGATCAAGTGAGATTGCAAGTAAGAGTTTATTTATTTTGAAATCCATATGAGAAGACATGCATGCTACGTGCCACCTACCACTGAATTATCTCGTACGCTATTGGCACACCGCTCATTCATTCTTTCATTCCGCATTTCCTTCCGAATTAGCAAATACTCACTGATCTCTCAAAGCCCTACCGATTTACTGCGTCTGCGATCTTCTACTCTTTTGAAAATACGACACACACAGACACACTCTCGCTAAACACTGAAGCACACTCAGTCAGTCATACGGAAATCTTTTACCGCGTTCCACATTTCGAGCAAAAGCACATTAAGCAAACATTAAACTATGTTAAGCTCAATAATGTAAACTTGTCCCCATAATCTATCCCTTTCATCATTCTTCAAGGACTGAAAAGACATACTGTGTGATACTGTGACAGTAACTTTTGGTCATTTTGAATCTCTCTCTCTCTCTCTCACACACACACACACACAGCGAAGTCACGCAATCCCTCGGATAAACTGCCAATCATAGAAACGGTATCACAAACAACGAGAGTTTTACTCTACCGTCACAAATCAACTCATTGTATTTGAAAATCAGTTCTATGCACCAAGTGAGAAAAATATCGATCACCTAGGTTAACCTCTGGTTTGGGATGTGAAACGAGCACTATGATAGATATATTAAAGTATAAATGAATGGGCGAATGGTTTATGTAGTATTTTATCGTATTCGATTCTGGAAGCTGATAGCGGAAGCACAATCACACGAGATGGTGCTCTTATTCATTGATTAAACTAGAGAATGTCACTTGCTTGGGTTATAATATGCTCTAATACACCAATTTTATTCTTATACAAAATAAAGGATAGATTTTATTACAAATATGGAGTATTTGTTGACCAACGGGCGTAATTATCCGTTAACTTCCAGAGAGCAAAGTAATCAGGATATTCACTGGGAGAGAGAGTGAGGTAAGGAAGGTTGCTTCATAAATTAATAGTTTCAAAACAAAAAAGAAGTTGAACACAACTGTTCAACACGCTCGTTGTGTTCCTTGGTAAGTGTGCTATACTGGTTGTGCTCCAGATTCGAACGTAAATGGAGGAGGAACCAGATAGGCAAGTCATAAATGTGGAGGTCCTGTACAGTGTTGAAACAAAAATTTCTCAATTCATTCACATACCAATAATATTTATCATCGAGTGTTACTATGCTGTCGTCCGAAAAAAAACTGTAAAACACTCGTAAAATGCGACAAACGTTTTGTGTGGACATTTGTAGTTTAGTATTTCAACATACGAGCGCTAAATGGGATAAAGTATATTTTATCAGTTTCTGAAATAATGGATTGAAATGGGATTGTGGAAATTAAGAAACCTGAGAAAGGGGTCATACTGCTGCCAAAATGGGTTGTCCAATCAGTTCATATCCATTATCAGAGCGTGAAACAGCTTGTGCAATCGATTCGCAGTTAAATCTATTCAGTGGTGCCGAGGATGCAAATTAAGAAATGTTCTGGAGGCCGCAATAATTTGCTTATGCCAGTTTCACTGAATGAGCTAGCCCGACCATATGATTTTAAATTATTACAACCATTCACTCAAGGCCTTGATCCGAAACGGCGTATTTCAAGAGTCTTCATGAGTCTTGACAACCAAATCGGGGGTTAGGAATTTTCACAAGCAGGAAGCCATTGAAATCCGTTTAATGAATATACTCCAAATACACAAACTTACACAGTTTCTAACACCGCATCCAT